ACGGGACCCCCGCCGCTGCCGCTTTCCTGCCGGAGAACAATAGCTGCTCCGTCACTTCCGGGGCGTCGCCGCCGCCATGGTTGCTAGGAAACGGCGGCCCCCCTCGGCCCGGCGGGATGAGGCCGTTCCTCGGGCGCGCGGGGGCTGCCTGACGTTAGGACCGTTAAGACCGTTAGGGCCCGCTGTGCCCGCCGTAATGGCGGCGCCCGGCGTTCTCTACTCCCGGAGAGGCGCAGCGGAGAAGGCCGCGCTCTCCCCCATCTTCTCCCCTTCCCCGGGCCGGGGGAGCTGCTGTGCCCCGCGTCCCGCACGCAGGAGGCCTCCGCCGTTAAGGAGGAGGCGGAGCGCAGACCTCCCGGCCTGGCTTCAGGCCCTCCCTCCCTCCCTCCAGCCCAGGTGCCTCCACCGTTTCCCCCCGGGAGCCTGGGCAGCCCGTCTTTGGCCGCGCTGCTGTGGGGAGGGGGATGCTGCCGGGGTGCCTCAGCTCCCGTGAGGGCTGCGGGGGAAGGGGGGGGGGGCGTTCACAGATAGGTGAACAATTGCATAACGCGCCGGTGGCGCAAAACTCCGCTTTCTGGTCCGTCCCGAGCAGCCCTTTCGGTGTGCCTTGCACCCTGGCTCACCTACGGAACGGGCCGGTGCCCGAGGACGTGCCAGGCAGGGCTTTTTTGCAAGATTCAAGACCGTCGCAGCCAACTGCTTTGTCCCGCGTCGTGCAGCGGTTTCAGGAGGTGCTGCGGGGCTGCTGTGTGGAGGCAGCGCTAGGGCTGAAGTTTTCCTAACGCCTGACTTCAGTCATTAAGCCACTCATTATTTTTTCCGTATGAGAGTATTCTTCATGAAAGATGCCCGCGTACCGGATTCACATGGGTTAAACCGATTACGTCGGTCAAGTGCCAAAACTTAGAACGTAAAACTTCTAGATTTCAGCCATTGAAAATAATTAATGCTGGACTTTTAGTCTTCCCGAATGCTCAATCCTCCCTACACTTGGGTTTTTTTGGGGGGAGATTTTTTAATATTTTTTTTAAATTTTTTTTTCTTTAGTTAGAAAAAAGGCATTTGCTTAAGATAGTTAATAACACATTGAAATTTTTGTCAGACAAGTTATATTACAGTACTCGCTGTGATGGGTCATGCTTAACTGACAGGCTGCAGGTCTAACAACTGAAATAAAACCGGATAAACTTTCCGTGTCT